TTTGCCAGAAGGTAGGATTTTCCCGGATGGAAAGAAAAAATGAAAGACTTGCAACGCAATATAAGCTTCTTGCATCGGTTTCAGCCCCCTGTTTTCTGTAGCTTTCTGGGAATTGTTACACAAAAAAACAGACGTAAAATAACATTTTTGTTTGCTCAGGTCAAATGCCTTTGAAGGAGGAGTGATAGGTGGTAAAGATAATGTAACAAACTTGTACCTACGCTTAGTAGTTCATTGTTGCATGTGCTCTCGGTGGAAATATCACTGTATAACTTCCACGACCTGTGTTCTCCTGCATATGCTTATAGAGCTGCCCACAGCCAAAGAAATCCGATGTCTCAGTCTTAAAAAAACTCACCTCTAATATAGCATCAGTTGGAAACGTCGTACTGTTTTAGCTTGTCAATCTAAAGTGGAAACTGACCTTAGGAACTGATGACAGATTCCAGCTTGCAGGGTAAAAGTAGCCCCCAGTTTGGCCTGATGTGTTTCCTACTTCTCAGAGAGACTGGAGCCAACCACCCGTGCATAGATTAGAGAGCATTGTTCATACTCCCTATGCCTTACACTGTTTGTGGTAAGACTCTGAGAAAGAGGGTTGAACGTGACATGTAAGTTGTTAACGTTTTTATTTCGTGCCCCAAACTAATTATCGTTAAAAAAAAATATTGTTGGGCGGTTACCCCATAAAAACCTTAACTTTCTATATCTAACCACTTTAAAGGGGTAATATTACAAGTGGCAGGTGGGGTGGTTAAAAAAAAAACTAAAAGAGAAAGCACTATGGGTTAACAAAGGCCTTCCTGGCTCTACTGGTATAGATGGGAGAAATCTCTCCACTGCCACCCTATTTTCAGTAATTTTATACCAAACAAGGTGATATCAACTGTGACCTCCTTTACGGAAAAAATACTACTTCCCAGAAGATGAACATATAGTTGTAAGAACCACATCTAATACTAAAAGGAGGTGAGAACTTTACCTAGAAAGGAAGAAGAAATTGATATTTCAAGCTGGAGAAAGGAAAGAAATGTAAATTGGGAATGTGTAAAAATCTGCTGTCATCAAATCTAGTCCACAAATGATTAAGAAAACAAGCTCATGCCTTCATTATGAGTGTCCTAGGTCACAGCTGTTCCTCAAAACATCTCAAGTGAATGAACTCCTTAAGAGCCAGTACTTTGTCCAAGTCATTTCACTGAAAGCAGTATTGTCAGGTAGCAACTCCACCAACATTAACTCACAAAGGTGCCAGGACACTGATTACAGCTTGGCTTCAGAAAGGGAATTTATAGAAGGTTTGGGACTGAGTGATCTATTTGGGGGATGTGCTGCTGCTACTGCCAACCCTTAAAAGTTCTTAGAAAACTTCACAATCAACAAATAATAACATCTAAATGCCAAGCCCATCAGCAAAGAAGGTTAGTGCTATTTTTTTATTATTATTATTGTCAGCTAAAGCCAAAAAAAAAAAAAAAGATAAGCAGATGGGGCAATTGAAAGGTTACATCTTTCTTTTGGAGGTGGTTTGTTTCTTAAAGGTTAACTTGAATGCTTGACTTTAAAAAATCAAAATCATCAGCTGCAAATGCTTAAAGCAGTTGGGGGTAGCTTTTGAAGAAGAAAACAAAGGATCTGAAATGTTTGAAAATTACTTAGCCCCCATTTAAATGGTGCTTGTATATTTATATGCTTGCTCTATAAATGTACACACACATACCACAACTCATTTCTCTTCATTTTTCAAATATGATTGCTTGTACTCAGGCATCTTTTTGTTGACACAAAATACCATTTTAATAACCTGTTAGGTGTTCTAATCATTTGATAGTATCCAGAGTACAAAGTAGTCACAATGCAAACCAGCAGTACAGCCTTCTGCCTAAATCAAACTCCACAGCTACAGACACCAGCCATTTGCAGCATATTCTGCTCCTGCTAAATAGAGTCTAACAATATATTTCACTGTTCACATTCATGTATTTCAAAACCTAATAGCCCATGAAGAAAAGTATGAAGAATACATCTCAAGAAGCAGACATTAAAGGTACCAGCAAAATAATAGACTACATTTAAGTTTGAAGCATTATCTTAGGTGACTTATATCATTAATGACTTTCTTTGTGGTGGGTGTTGAAAAAGAGAATGCAGGAAAGGGTTTTGCATAAATGTTGGCTTCTATTAAAAAGTTCCTTTTGTGTGAGATTATTCCTATACACACACAGAGGACTCCTCAAATTAAGTGACCTTCAAATAAAAATTCAAAAAATGAAGTAGTACTAAAATAAACATTTACCCCTAAAATTTATCTTTAAAATAAATCATATGCTACACATAGTGTGATATGTAATTATTACACTATGGTATTAAGGTAAAAGGCATTATGTACAAACAATGAAACATTTATAATTTCAAGTTTGAAGGAAAGTGTATTTAGGAATGATCAAAGCAAAAATAAAGAGTATTTTCTAACTTCTTTACACATGTACTGTTATGATTATCATTGTCATACTTTTATCAGGTTCCCAGATGACCTTATCTCTCCTGAAAAGGGGAAAGATTATTAATTGAGCAGTTATCCTTCAAATAGCTCAAAGATAGGTGAGCTATCTTTAACCCTCTTTCTATTTTTAGCTATTGGGCTCAATATCTTGAGTCGCTTCAAATACTAGCCTGTTAATCAGTTTCTAAACTCCAAAGCTATCTAGGGCCAGCTTTTGGTCTCAAAAATTTTTGGAGCTACCAGCAATTCATGCTTAGGTGTTAACTTTCTTAAATCTCACCAAATTGTGCAAGGTGGCGCTCTTTTCAGGAAAGGCCAATATTACTGTGATAATCACAATAATGTATTTTTTTAAAGTTAAACACTATGGTCAGTTTTCTGTGGGCTACCAGAATACAGCAAAACTCTTCCTCATTAAATAAGACTTTGTTGACTAAAAGTGACAGATGCAAATAGCAAAGGATGAAAGGAGCAACTCAGTAAGTGTTTTTAAAGAATATATAGCATTTTAATTTTCTAACTGGTCAACGATGCAATCTGAAAAATTAATATCACTTTAAAACAGATTGAAGGCTCTTAAGGGACTTTCACACTTTGCCCTATGACTTCCTAAACACACATTGTATACTACCAGTATCAGATTCCATGTCCCTCCTTGCCTACAGTGAGGTCAGTTTCTGCAGACAGCTTTTAACACATCCACTCCCTTGCAGCTATAGCCAAGGGCCTGATTTGTGATCTCCAGCTATGTTGTCTGCCTAATGGGGTGATCATGCAAGCTACAACCAGAGACAAAGAAGCCTGCGTTCCTACCAGCGAAGCTAACTTCGTGGAAGCAGCATAGCTTGCAAATCTATCAAACTAAACTGCAAGAAAGACAATCTGATTTAGAGAAAAGGCGTTCTGCTACAGTCATTAAGCACAAGTAATTTAGATTTTTTATATTGTCTCCTCATTTACAAATTTACTGTATCAACGCCAGCCAATGGAACGAATTTCTTAAGTAAATGAGAAATGAATAAAAGAGATAGAAAGATAATCAAATTGCATAAAACAATTCTCTTCTCTAGATGTATTTTTGAAAGAACTAATAACAGTAGCAAAATTATAGGAATAATAACATATCATAGGAAGTAATTAATTTAAATTAGCATCATGTTTGAAAAAACACAAGTGAGACGCTTTATGGACGTTTACTTTTATACAAAAAAAGAAAGGCCTGGAATAGCATGCATCAACATCCTTGAAGATTAGTTATGGCCATAAATGGTTTAATTGAAGACAGCAATTTAAAATATGACATTGTAAATCTCCAAACCGGTTTCAGACCCAGGAATTGAATTTGGGGGACAGCAGAGCCCATGGCTGCAAGTTCATTTGCAGCGTTGCAGAGAGAGCCCCTGAGCTTCCCACAATGCGCCTACATTAATATTGATGTTGCCTGTACAATCATTTCCGTTATTTTTATGGTTGTTATTCTACGTCTGCAAAGGTCATTTAAATTATACTGCGGCCGAAAATTTGTTTCATAAATTTTGATATAAATACTAATTACACCCTCTCGGAGAACCAGCAGGGTAGCGTTCATTTATCACGTTTATATGACCTACAGTGACAGAAAAGGAAGGCAAGACAGACTGCAGAGCTCTTCTGGAGAACCCTAAGACTGGCAGAAGAGGCAGCAGGTTGCTGAGGGGTGAGGGGATGTGAGGAAGAAATTCCTACCACAATCACTGAGATTTAAGAATCTTTAATAATGTACGAAAGGTTACCAAACAGTTCTGGAAACTAAAGTGTACATACGAGTTTTTCTAGCCATAAATATTGAATAGCTGTAACATGGATAAACCGGCCCTTTACATGCGGATAAATATGGAAACTAGGAATTATATACATATGTGGTTGTATCTTTTGCCAAAAGCAACGGACAGTTATAGTTTATATCTTTTTAATATCACTTTACATAAACAAATGGAACAGTTTGACACGCAGATCCAGGCTATACGAAATCTTGACAGGACGTGAAACAACATTTTACTGCACTAAAGTACTTAGACTTTTGAACGAAGAAATGTTTGCACTTTATACAAAAAAAGCACATTAATACCAATAATATTCTGTTAGGTCGACGCGGAGACTGTAATCGTACACAGTAATTCACATTTGGTACACATTTACTAGAACATTCTTGCCATTCAGTACAAACAGTTGGCTTTCGGCCGCCCACCCCTCCCC